TTTGCGTTAGTGCGTCCCACGAAACACCCCTGCTGCGGGGGCCAAAAATCTGCAGAACAAAACGCGCTCGGTGGGCATTGCTAGTGTGTGTGGACAGGAAAAAATTGATGACATTTAGGTAGGTGTTGATGTCACTGTCTCACCTAAGCCAATGTTTCATGAAACAGACCCCCCCAAAAAAATAATTGATTACAAACTGGAGAGCTTTGTGCTTGGCACCATCAGATGGTTCTATTTGTTGCACTACTGTTGATGGGATGTCAGACAGATCTATCATTTATATGACTGTTGAAGAGTTCTTAGACAGATCTATCATTTGTATGACTATTGATTTAATCTTAGATAGATTTATCGTTTGTTTGACTGTTAACGAGATGTTCTCTGCTTGCTATCATTCTAGATGAGGATGTGATTGGTCCAGCCCAAGCCCGGTGCAGCAGTGTGGAGATGAGACGCAGTGAGTCGCCTGCCCCTTACCCACTGCCCATGCCGGCGTATGGAGGCTACTTCGCCCCGCTCAACGAATGTTTGCCGGAGAACTTCTCACCTACACCAGGTTTTCATAGGTGAGAATTTGAAGTGTGTTTTGTCTTGTCTAAGTGTTACTGTTTGCAAGTCTTGGTAAAAACTGGAAACTTGAGTATATTGTTTTTCTGTTCAGTCCTTGCTGAACACTCTTTCTGTGGTGTAAGTGTACTTGCTTATTAGAGTTATTGTGTTTAACACTAGAAATCCAACATTATTTATGAGGGACCGTATTAGAAAAAAATATTTTAAGAGTTTGACTCGCTTCTATCTTTTGACACATAAGATAAAACAAAAAAACAAGTATTGTAGTCTACATTGTATGACAAGCAATTGAAAAGTGTCCGCAAAAGACATTTTGTTTTGTTAAATGTATGTGGCTCTGATAAAACCTGTATAAAACTGAATGTTTTGAAAACAGGCTTTTTTTTCATATTTGAAAGCTTAGTCTTTCTTGAGTGTTTTTTTTCCTTTATTTGAGTGCAATTGGAGTGTTCTGTAAAATGTAAATAATATTTCAAATGGTTTTGGATCCACAGTGTAAGTTTAGAGAAGTTGACGTGAAAAGTTTTCATGATTTTGATAATGATTTATATTGTGTTTGATGGGGGCACAAAACATGTAATCATTTGTCATCTTTTTGAACCTTGCACAAGGATTCAAACATTTTCAATCTTCTTATTTACTATCACTGAGCATTCGCCTGGAGACTGGCCTGTCGTAGGACTTTACATGTTTAGTATAGAAAAGATTTAATCTTTTTTGTGTGTCTCATCCCCCCCTTAGGAGCAACATTGCAGTGATGTTCCTGTGTGACCTGGTTTTGGACGGCCTGGAGGTGGACTGGTCACCTCACCTGCCTCTCATGTTGCATGTCATCTTTCTAGGTAAGTCTATGTTGCCCACTAGTGGATGATTTGGTAATTTTGATGGGCAGTGGGGATTACCGGGATGGTGACTGGTATTATTTAATTCCCCTCTTAGAAATATATGTAGGTGGGGACATAAGGTTGACTGGAACTGGTAAACACTGAGGAAATTACAATGGTAGTAACAGCAGTTATAGCAACTGCAGTATCGACCATTACATCACTACAATAGCTTTTACAACATTAGTAGCTGCAACCACTGTGTCAACAACAGCCATGACAAGGGTAGTAACAGCAGTGACAAGAAAAGTATTGACAACTGCAGGAACAGTTGATGCGATACTCGCCAACCATTTTTTTCATCAAGGGATGGGTAATGGAAGAGATAAAGCGAGTATTTATAATTGTCAAAATGTTGCTGTGGGCTATGATCGTTGGACTCGCAGACTTTTCTTTAATGATGCATCCCCTCTTCTCTCACTTCGCCTCCTCTTCCCTTCTTTCTCTCTCTCTCTCTCTCTCTCTCTCTCTCTCTCTCTCTCTCTCTCTCTCTCTCTCTCCCCCCCCCCCCCCAATCCCTATTCCCTCCACCCACCCCCTCTCACAACACCCTATCCTGTCTTGCACCCCCTCCTCCCCCACCCCTTGTTGACGTCTCCCCTTCCTTTCTCCTATAATACTCCCTCCCCCAAACCTTCCCCATTCCTCTCAGGCCTGGACCACTCAAGGGCACTTGTCTACGAACACTGCAAGAAACTGCTGCAGAATCTTCTGCTGTTAGCCTCCTCCCAAGAGCAAGTGTCGGCCGCCACTTCAAGACTGCTGTTGGCCTTCCGCAGCTCTGTGGCTGACACGCTGAAGGTCATCTCTGAGGACAGGGATGCGCAGCTTACGTTAGGTGAGTTCTCGTTGTATGTGTTTGTGTGTGTGTGTGTATGTGTGTGTGTGTGTGTGTGTGTGTGGGTGTGTGTGGGGGGGAGAGTTGTTATTTGTTATTTGTTGAAAGTTGTTATTTTTGGTAGGTGAGTTCTCGTTGTGTGGGCGGAAAGATGTAGAAAGTTGTGTTTGATATGTGAGTTCCAGTTGTGTAGGGGGGAACGATGTAGAAAGTTGTTGTGTTTGAATGTCTTGTTAAATGTAGCAATTTTGAGTTTTGTCTTGTTTCATTGTCTTTTAGTGAACGTCCTAGTTTTGTTGTGTTTGAATGTCTTTTCGGTGAATATAGAAGTTTTTAGTTTTGTTGTGTTTTCATACCTTTGTGGTGGATGTAGATTTTTCTTGTTTACACATTTTTGTTGTGACCATTGAGGATTAGTAATGTTTTTATTCCTTCATAGTGAATGTGGGAATTTTTTTTGTTTCCACACATTTGTTGTGAATGTAGTTTTATTTTGCTTACCTTTGTGATAAATGTAGAAATAATGTTGTGTTTTTGCTCCTTTGTGGTGAAGGTAAAAGTGTTGTTTTTTCACTTTTGTGGTGAATGTTGAAGATTTGTAATTGAAAATGATATATTAAAAAAAAACCTACGGAATATTGATTATTGGGGAACTGGGGACACAGAAATATTCTTGTAAGAGCCTGGCAATACATCCATCTTGTCATTTTTCTTTGTCCATAGAAACCCCGTCGCGTGACCCCCACATCCAGTACATCACCAAGTCCACGTTCAGCATTGACAGCAGTGCCACGATGACGCCTGACTCCACGACTGAGTACACCGACCCGGAGATGTTGAGCACCGTCGATGATGTCATCAAGGCCATGCTTAGCTTCATGGAGTCCAGGTAATGATTTAGGGATACTGCTGATGCTCATGCTTTAGAGGATATTTTTGGGGGTTGTTTTTGGTTTGTTTTTGTTTGTTTTTGTTTTTTGCTTTTGGGTTGTTTTTTTTGTTGTTTTTTTTTAAAAGGTTTGATTTTTTGGTTATTTCTTTTGGTTGTAAGCACATCCAGAAAAAATTTTTATTGAACGAAAATACACCCAAATATCGCATATCAAAATGAAGTTGTTAAGTCATGGGGAGACCAGAGTGTTTTAACAGAGATGTAAAATGCAGATAGTGAAGGTTCACTGAGTGCCACGTGGTTTCATTTCTCAAAGTTTTAAAAATGTTTTTGTTTTGTTTAGAAGAGATGTAAAATGTGGAGAGTAAAGTTTCAAATCTTGTCGTGTTGGTGTCAAACTCTGATCTTCTAAGATGATAATTTTTTGTTTTGAAAAAGAAATATGCATGCAGAGAGTAAAGGTTGAATCCTGTTTTGTTGAGACTTCACTTAACTGTTCAAAGATGATATTTGGCTTGTTTTAAGAGGTGATATAAAATGAAGAGAGGAAGGATAACATATCTTATTTGAAAAGAATGTAAAATATGACTATAATTAAAAGTCTTGTCTTGTTGATGTCTCACTCATTCCTTTTTTTGTCTTGTCTTTCCTTCCAGAAAAGGTCGGCCTCTGTGGAGCTCGGAGGACATCACGCCCAAGATGCTGAGCACACAAAGCGCTACACACCTCAGCTACTTCCTCAAGTACACAGTGCGCTGCTTCAAGGAGTTGTCCCCCCTAGCCCTAGTGGAACAGCGCTGGTCCCAAGTCTCTCTACAGCTGGCTCTGTCGTGTTCCTCACGTCATTATGCTGGGAGATCTTTTCAGGTGAGCACAATCTGCCACACTGTTTGTCTGTTTGTTTGTCTGTTCAAGGCACTGCTTTTTGTTTTAGTAAAAGTTTTACTTGCATCACAATTAGGTCATGTAAGTGACGAAGATTATAGGCTTTAAAAGAGAGTTACATACAAAGAAAAGAAGGAGGAAACATAAAGACGATAGACATTTTATAGGAAAGAAGGAGCAAATCGCACCGGAGTGCCTGCCAGCCACCCACCGAGGCACTGCACTGTTTGTCACTTCAAGAAAAGACGAGACTAGATATACAGGGTGATCCCAAAAAAACTTTACAACTTTTTTTCTGAATATCTCGCGCAAAAATTGTTCTAGAATGCTGTAATTTGGAACAGACATAATTCATTCAAAAGGAATTTGTTTGATCTAAAATCCAAGAAGAAGAAATATGTTTTGAAAATGGAAACGGCTAAAAGAAAGAAGCACCAAAAAACAATGTTTAAAAATCTTGTAAAGGAAGTCGTGAAAAGATTAGTTGAGCGTTTTCATTATTTTCTCTTCGACATTAATTTTCCATCCTTGTGACATTTAAACAATATTTAATTTCTTTTACAGAGTTTTCTAAACCTAATGATTTCATTCTGAAATTCCTAGAAGCAGTGCTCCACATTCCCTCCTTTGGACTCGACACATTTTTAACGCGTCGCTCGAAATGTTCACTGGCGCCCTTACACAAGGACCTGCTAAACCATGAGTTTTCAAAGCCACATACACTGTACATGTTCACTAAGAAATGGCGTCTAGAGACAATAGAGTGGGGGTGCCCAATAGACAGCATTTTTTAAAGTAAACATATCCTGCAGGGTGAAAATGCGCTTTGCACTAAACCAAATGTCATCAAGGAAATGATCCCTTTTTACAAGACAATTGAGGAATCTTGAACACATTGCTATGCTCTGATCCATGTCATCTCGGCCTAGTGAAGATGAACATGGTATAGTCCTAAGTTAACATATGCCATGAGAATGCATACTGTTGATGTGTAGGAACGTCTTAGCTGCAGATCGTCTATGGACAGAAGTGTCATAGGACTCGGCTTCTGAAATCTGCACTCTGATGACGTTTAAAGGGCTGCGCATGGTGTGTGTTCGACCTGAAGTTGTCATTTTTAAAAGAACTTTTTAGTTCTGATTCACTATAGGTCCAAACTGACGGAACTTCTCTACTCATGACGCCAAAGGTCTTGAGGGCACCTAATCATTCTCTCCATGCCGTGCATAGAACTTACGAAATGTCAGGGCGGTGAGTTTGTGGAGAGGTAATATTCAATACAAAAAGCTCTCCGCTGTTTACTAAAGGTAGCCATGATCTCAGCAAGCAAACAAAATTTGGAAAAATAATATCTGCAGACTTCTGTTAACTTGTTAGACTGCTGTAGCTTGCAATATGGCGTGATTGTGGCAACATTTAGTGGTAAGCTAATGCGAACTGGTGCGTCAAACTCTGAAAATGGCGACAAGGTTGAAAATGGGTTTTTTTTTTAATGCGCTATATAGAGCAAAACCATTCAATGGACTTATCTTAAATACGTATCAGACAAATTCCTTTTGGCTTCCAAACCTTATGTTCAAATCTGAAATGCAAAACTTCAGTATGGAGGAAGATATTTACAAAACAAGTTGTAAAGGTTTTTTTTGGATCACCCTGTACTTAATTTATCCTTCTTTAGTGACGATGTGTTAGTAGTGTACTTTCGTCAGGTCGTGCGACACAAAATGTAAGACATTTACAACAATTTGAATCAGTTTCATGGAATTGAGGAATTGAAAGCTGACTCTGTAGATTGTGATATGTTTTTCTTTCCTTGTTTCAATGAAAATACTTTTGTTGTTGTTGTTTTTGTTTTTTTAAATATTGTTTAAAGAAATTGTCATCTATTGTTGTTTTACTCAGATTCTGAGAGCCCTACAGATTCGTCCATCCACTCAGATGTTGTCGGACATTTTGTCTCGTTTGGTAGAGACCGTCGCAGAGCAAGGGGAGGATATGCAGGTGTGTGGCTGCTCGACTCTTTGCATATTTGTTGTTTGGAATTGGGTGTCCTATGTACTCCACTCCTATGTCCCGTTTTTCTTTAGGTGTTAACTGACCAATGCTGGACCTGTTCTGCTACTGCTACATTTTTGTTGTTGTACAGCATCAGATGTCAGATATAACTTTGAGCGCTGCAGGATGAAAAATCCAAACTTAACCAACAATACTTTGGTTGTTCTGTTTGTAAAACATACTTTTTGGAGATACATGTGTATAGAGGTGTGCTAGGCTCTTGTCTCGTCTTGATGGACAAAATGACTTCTGTCTCACTCTAGGTGTCCCTCAAGTGATTTTGTCTTCTCACATTCAGAAGGTGATTTTTGTCTTCTGTCTTACTTTGCCTTAGCTCTTACTGTTGATTATGATAGTGATTGCTGTGGTGATAATGATAATTAGACTGGTATTGATGATGATGGTTATGTTGATTATGAGGATGATGTCAGTTTGATCCTGATGAAGTCCCAGATATTGAAATGTTGAGCAAAACTTCTTTCTATTATGGAGTTACCTTATTTTTACTATTTTTCCGCAGTGAGGATGATGGTGTTGGTGTTGGTTATGATGATGGTTCTTTCTTATCTTTCTCTCTGACTCCCAGTCTCATCCCTTCTCCTCTTTGTGTATCCTTACATACTGATGATGGTAATGAAATAGTGAGGGTGATAATAATAATGATTATAAAGTAAGTGATGGTAATGCTACTTATGATAATGATGATGATCATGATAGGAATGATGGTTATGAGGGTGAATGTCCTCACTTCTACGTATCCCACCTAACAGGGTTACGTCACAGAGATGATGCTGACTCTTGAGGCATCCATCGACAACCTTGACCTAGAGTTCCGACCAATTGACTTCATGCGAGAGCTCTTCATGTCCACTCCCAATCTGGCCAAAGACGCTACAGACTCGCGCCGCAGCGCCATCACCGCGCCCAGACAGGTGCATCCACACCATGCCCGCAGCACCAGCTACACAGTATCAGCGTACACGCAGAGAGCCTATGCTGGGGGAGGTAATTCTATATCTTGCTTTTCCATACCATCTCAGTTGTCTTTATGATATTGCTCGCCTGATAGGCAATTATTTTTGCCCCACCCTCCCCTCGGAATAGAAAAACAAGCAAACTCAAAACAAGTAATTCTTCCCCCCCCCCCCCCCCCCCCCCTCCCCAAAAAAAAGAGAAGACAAGAAAAGGAAAAAAAAAACCCCACCCCCTTAAAGACCACAAGGAATCAGAAACACCCAACAAAGTACAACAACCACAAAAAAGCGACCAGACACACTCCCCCCCCCACACACTCACATCACTAGTGCTGAGTATTATCGTTCAGAACGCAGCCTGTACTTTTCTGTAAAAGCCTCCTTTCAGTTTATGTTGCCACAGTTTTATTTTTGCTTTTGGTAGAGTTCAATTTTTTGGGTTTTTTGGAGGGTTTGTTTGCTTTGTGTATCTTGAGTTGGGCGTAGTTCAGTTGTGACTGAGATGTTTTGCATTTTCTCAAGTTTTTGCTCAAAGACCCAACAGCATTTTTGCTCATTGCTAAGAGAAATTTACCTTCTCTCAAGTTCTTGCATGAAGAACCAATTGATCTTTTGCTCATAGCTGAGAGAAATTTGCTGTCGCTGAGTTTTTGCATGAAGAACCCACTGCATTTTTGCTCGTAGCTGAGAGAAATTTGCCTTTTCTGAAGTTTTTGCATGAAGAAACAACTGCACTTATGATCCTAGCTGAGTCACCTTTTGTTTTTTGTTTGTTGACTGTTCAGAATAATGACAGCATGATTTTTTTTGTCCCATGTTTGTCTGCTTGTGTGTTTGTGAGTGTGTATGTGTATGTGTGTATGCATGCATATTCATGATTGTATGTGTGTGTGTATGCATGCATATTCATGATTGTGTGTGTGTGTTTATGCATATGTGTAAATATGTGAGTGTACTTCTTGGGAAGCCGTGGGTGTTCTTGAGTGTTCAAGGGTCTCTGCTGGGGTAATATTATATGTTGTTTATAAAGTGCATAGGTCTTGCTGTTGAGCGAGGATATGCGCTGTACATGTGCTATTTATTACTTTTATTACTAGGTATGTATGTGTGTGTTTGTGTGTATGTGTGTCGTCATGCGTGTTTGTGAAAACCCCTTCATGAAATCAAATTGGTTTGCATGTTATGTGCTTTTCTTTTGAAAATGAACTACTTGTGATTTGTTGCAGGGTTTTGTGTTTGGTGCATAGAGAATTGTTTTGTTTATGACACACAGTTGGTACATCATAAATGAAGGCTCCAGTGGAAAAACCAGATTGGTCACATTTTAAAAGAAAGGGGAGAAAATGGAGATTCAAAGTTTGAAAATTCCAATGTCATAGTCAGTATAGCATTTCTTTATCTTTCACCTCACAGCACAGTACTTACCTGGGTTATCCGTATGATGATTTGTGGAGAACAAAGTTATATTTTTAACGCTTTGCAGACACACAGTTAGCAGTACAAAATACTCTTATCTGGTCACCCAGCCCGGAGATTGAATGCAACAGGCTCCTCGGCCAGGTGACCAGAACGGATAATTTCCACCAGTGCATTATTGCAACAAGTGGCTGAAAAGTGTTAAAGAATGGGCAACAAGGGAAAAATCTCGTCAAAAGAAAATTGTGACTCAACTGGTTTTTCCACAGGAGTCTTCATATCGTCGCCTCAGAACTATTTTGTCCAAAGTGTACTTGAGTAAAGAATGCATTGTGGACAGAATAGTTCTGATGCGTCAATATGTTGTAGGCACTGGGAATATTGGGTTTATAGAAAAAACTCTTTCCAACTGACCAGTTGTCTTGTTTGTTCGTCTGTTTGTTGATCTGCAACTCTTCCCCCTCGACACACAGCACGCGGTGCCTCGAAGTTGGCCGAGGCATGTCGCAACAAGGCCCTGAAGAACCAGTGGATGCGCGACGCCATTTGTGAACGCAGATATAATGAGGAGGAAGAGGCTTTTAGCGATGGTGACCGACCCGGCTCTGTGGCCGACACTCTTTCTTTTTACTGTCTTCCTTCTCTATCAGTTTGGTTCTTGTGTGAGGTTGCTAACCCACGGTGGTCAGTCAGTCTGTCTTGACCATTGTACTTTACGTGTTTGTGTAGGTTTTTCTTTTTCTTTTTTTTTTTGGTCCACTAACCACAATGTATCTGCAGCGCCACGCCAGGTAGTTCGGGGAGTGTGTCTGGCCTTGCCAGATTGGATTAAGGGTTTCTATTTTGTTGCACTCATTAAAAGCTCATATGTGTTGCCAGGTTCAAATAATAGTTTCTACCCTTATGATTTTATAAGCAACTTATCATCTTGCTCAAATCTTCACACAGAGTTGATTTATGAGTAGCAAACAACTTTTATGTCGTCGTTTAATTATTTGATCCATCGAGTGCAAAAAAACCCCCTTTTATTTCATCTTTGAAATATTTTGGTCTTTCAAGTATTCAAAAACAGTATATCATTTAATCATTAAATTTTAAGTTTCAAATTCATAACTTCTTAATTTATTTTAGTGTCAAAAATGTTTTATGTGCATCCGTGATACTTGAAAGATAATATACTGACATTTGTTTTAGAATTGCTTTAGTGCGAACAGCGAAGCTCGCGCCTATGGTTTGCTGGGAGACATGTACTAGTCGATAACTCGCCTACAGAAATAGTGTTAATCAACAATGTGGTCAAGAAATGCGACAATGACTACTGCAATTGTCTGTCTATCTGTTTGTCTGTGTGTGTGTGTGTGTGTGTGTGTGTGTGTGTGTGTGTGTGTGTGTGTGTGTGTG